ATATATATATATATAGCGACATAATTAGCCTTAAGAAGTTAACCGATGCCACAACACAATTATGTTTGAACACTAACGGCTGGAAAACGGACACTAAACTACAGAAGTGTCAGCAAACTTATTGGCTGAACGGTATTAAGTTGAAGGAAAAAATGGGACGAAAGCCCTAGTTTAGCAACACTTAATGGGCCGACATTTAACCACTTGTGAATTTTTTTCACTATTCAGGAGATTTACTGCAAGTACGATGCTGATGAATTGATAACACATTTTGATTTATGGTTGAAAGCTGATGGATACCAACGGTTTGGAAATATCCAAGCTCCTTCCACTCTTCCTCCCCGTCTTACTGCAACAGCATCGTTAAGACACAAGGCCAGAAGTTTAAATGAAGAGGCCGCCGAAATAGACAACGTTAAAAATTGCATGTCGACACTACATCAAAGCTGTCAAACCATTCACATTATTCTTCTTTTCCTTGCTGAATTGTTGGGTATATTGGAAATTTGCGGCAAACGAATGATGGTGTTTTAAGCATTTGTAGATGTATAAAATTCACCAAATTTGGAAGTTTAAGACACTGCCGTAAAATTACTGTTTTCGGTTTTTTTTTCAGCGGTGTATGAAGGCATTTAATTTTTGTTTTTTGCTTCCTCCTCCTCTCTTCTTTGATTTCATTCAGGCAACAACAAACATTATATGTATACTGTTATACTCAATTATTTACAACAACAGATACAGACAAACAAAATTTTTATTATCGTTTTTTTTTTAACAAAAAGAAACGGGAAATCACTACGTACGTTTTGCGTCTGCTTAAGACTCATAAAGTCGTCTAACGCATTTTCCTAGCTGTTTTATTTTACAAAGTTTTGTCAGGGCATCTTTGACTTTTCAGTATCGGCAGAACTATCCGTCAAACATAATTCCTTACATTCTTCCTCGGTTCTTAAAGTCCGATCACTGAGTACAAATGATTCTGAAACACACAGCACACGTTGGTGATATAAATAACCGGTGTTTTACTGAATTAATTCTATCAGATTCTGTAAGACTGAATAGCTTGTCTGATAAACCTACCACAGTAATTGTAGACGTATGTTAAACAAGATTCACCATCGGAATACCATCGGATTACCGGTTGTGGTTCTCGTCCACGATTTATGCAACTATCTTGATACTTTTTTCGTTCACACATACTTTCAACGCCATGTTTCGTGTTCCTCTCGCTCACACCAACTTTTTGATTGCTTGAATCTGAACTAGTTGGAAGAATTTTTTTGCACTTCTATCTAACACAGCTAATTTGATATCAAAATAGATCACGAAACTCAGTATTAGCAACGAACAAAAATTTTACACACGATAAATAAAATTTTCACTAATTTTTGTCGAGAAATAAATTAAACCTGGGATTGGCGCTTAAAACAAATGACATTCTGGTGATCAACGTTTTTTGAACTACACTAAACTTTGTTTTAAGACTTACCATGCTTTGGGTTGGCTTCATTCGTATCCTGTAGAGCTGCTGCCGGATCATCTTTAGCTACAAATGAAATCCCAACAGTTGTTTTCTTTTCAAGCACCTAAAATAATAAAATTTTACTCTGCAAAGCGCATTTAATACATTTTCAGTTGACATTGCCCAAAAACCTGTTAAGTAGTATTGCCAGACTAAGGTAATTATCTGCCACGTGACTACCAGTACAGTTTCAGGTTGATATTAAATTGTTGCACTCAAAACTCATAGAAATAAGCTAGGTTATTCATCCTATCAGCTTTCGAATTTTTATTTTCAGTTGTTGAAGCGAATACCCTATTTTTTTACATACTGTCGACGAAGACAGCAGTTGAAACTGGTTAGTTGCTGTTTTTCAAAGAACGGCATAGTAACATCTTCTTATATCGCAGTTCTAATTCTAGGTTTCTTATACCTTTTCAGCTTTGACTCTAAAAAAATATTTGCCTGAAAGCTAAGAAATATATGTTACTGTTGTGCTATGTTTTTTACCTAAAATAAAGTCAGTGGACCATCCAAAATGGCACAGTTTTTTCTTATTTGATACTATATTAACGACTTAACTTCGCATTTGATGCGACTTTTTATCTCAGTCGTTGCCAAAAATAAAAAAGAAAGTTGGTAATTGTAAAAGGTTGGAATTATGACTACGTATTTTCAGCCGTAATTACAATTTTTATTGACGGCAATCATTCAAAATAAAAATTATATGATTATCTGTAATAATAACATTCAGAAAAGGAAAAAAATTGTAAACTTTTTATCAAATATGTTGCTTTTCTATGCAATATTTTTTCCGCAAAAAATGTGCAAATAAATATTGGCTGCTAAAAGTGACGTAAAAAAAGTGTTTCAACTACAAATTTGATGTGGACAAAGTGACAATTTGTTTGATTTATCTTCTCCTTATTAGTATTAACTGTAGACAAAAAAATTGACCAAATAGTTCATAATACTTCGTCATTATTTTCTGTGATTAAATCTATCCAAATTGAATGGATAACAGACTAACAAAAAAAAAGTCTTTTGTTGGCATATTATTTGTCGGAAAAATAACTTGCTAAACCATCAAATCGTTAGGTCTTCCAGGAACCAACGTAGCGTATTTTGCAAGTTAATTGCGACGCTTTGGGCAACAATAAATGGACTTCAATTGGTCAAAGGAAATAACTATTCTACTAGAGTTCTAATACCAAATGTTCATCTCTTTACACCACTAAGCTTCGGAATTACAAATCAATGTTTAACCAATGTTTACTGTTACCGTGAAATATTTTTTAAACAAATATTCCAATGTAACTGTAAATACAACGGTTCAAAAATAGAATTAAGGTGACAAAAATAACCAAAAACAACGAACAAATTTGATCTTATTTTAAGTCTCTAAAAAAAACCTAACTTCAAAGTTCTCCAGCATTTCCGAAGTTATGTTTTTGGTGAAAGAAAATTTATTAAAAATATTAATTTATCTAATTTTTGGTCTAATCAATTTTGTTGTCACAAGACTGCCGGTATAGAGTAAAAATGCTGGCCAAAAGAATAAAAATGAAAAATTTTTTTGACAATTTTCTCAGATTCAGATTGTCAAATTCAGTATTTAAGACAAAGAAGAAAAAAAATCAAGTCCACAGCACAAGAGTTCTTCAAATTAAAAATATTTTTAGATAAAACATAAAGATTGCTGAAGAAAAAGATATGTCCTTGATCGAAAAAATCCTGTTCTAGAAGCATTTCATTTTCTCTGCCTCATGAGATGTCAACTAAGTTTAAAAATTTATTGGCCAAACCAATCTGTCACTCAGCTTTTTTCCTGCATATTTTTTTGCTGTTGCCTAGATCTGCTGTCACAACTTTGTACACTCAAGTAATCCGCCTAGTCGTAGATCGGCGTTCTGACCGGTATTTACAGAATAAAATTCTGTTTCGGTAACGTAAATACTAACAAATCTGTTAAATTTTTTCTAATTGGTGGAAATTACGCCGAGTGCAATACCGACTGCAGATGCCTGTCCATTTTTCTTTCTTTTCTTTTGGATAATAATAACAGTATTTTAAGTATGATTACTGCGAAAAAAAATAGATGTTATGATATTGGGAACTGAAAATGGCTTTAACGATCATCCGTTGCGTTCCATTGAGTTTAGGGTAACAAAAAAGTGTACTCGGAGAAGCACAAAGTATAAGATCCTGATATTCTAAACACGATAACAACGACCATCAACAGTCAGTGTGCTTCTTAAGAATCTGCATAGTTCTTAAGTTTGTTTAAGGAAGTGCAAATTGGTGCAAACATTAAAAACAGTACAAAAAATAAGGACACTGCGTTCAAAAAATTTTATTAAACAGTAAAGATACATAAAGAAAAAGGTGAAAAATAAATGTTTTAATTAAATTTGTAGATAAGACTTATTACAGGGACAGCCACAATTACTTGAATACAAAAGTCGAATTCATCGAAAGAACTCGATTAAAGCTGAAGTGAGTATACATGTGGCTTACATAGACACTATAATGTTGTTAGAGATTACCACAGATTTTGTTAATTGAAACGATAACAGTAAAACTGTTGCAGTAATGTGCGGTTCAGTAAAGTCTGCTAGAAAAAAATCATTTTTTTTTTTTCATTTTGCTTCCACTTTTTTGTTTATTTTTCTTATCTTACTGTTTCACATTGGAGTTAACGACGGTGTAACAACCTGTTTATTCCTCGTACTTTCCTCGCTATCCCCATATAATTTGGTCAAAATTTCCAAATCAGCACAACAAATTCCATTCTCTGGGCGTTTCTCGGCGCTCAAATATTCACAGAAGAAGCCTTCTGGACAACCACTTTTACAGGATACTATACCCTCAACAGCGCCCAATAGCGGATTGGAACCATCGCTACAAGCCGGTATCTTTTTTCCACGGAGAGCAGTTTCTTCTGGCAGTACACCTAAACTACAAAAAAAAAGAAAAAACAAAAAAGAAAAGACAAAAAAGAAAAAAAAAACCAGAAAAAAGTAATTGTTAGCCGATTAGTTTATCAATATTGTTTGCCATCTGTTGATTAGAGCACAGTTTTTAAGTTTTTAAAATGTCAGAAAAAAAAATGAGCAGTAATCAAAATTTATAACTGAATTTAATACATCGTACCAATAGTTGAATTTACTATGTGCCAAAATGTTAACTGCTCATCAAATGGTATATTTCAAAAAAAAAAAGGATATTAAAGAGTGACGAAAAGAAGGAAAAAAAAAAAGAAGCAAAAAGTATATGTATTACCTGCATAGACAACAATAAGTTGTAGTGTGAAAGTACAGAATAGCAACACTGCTGTGGTGTTGAGCATTTTCAGTGTAAAAAAAAAAAAATTTTTTTTTCAAATTAAGTAATCAAAAAAACTTTTTTTTTTCTTTTTTTTTTTGCAATGTAAAAATTAATAATGTGGGAGTGGTGTGAAAAAATTTGTGGAATATGGAGAGACGAAAAACGAGGATGGGGAGGAGATGGAAGTGGAAAGCAAAAATTTTTATAACTGAACGTCAACGTCGTTGTAGACAACAATATATAGGGGATTTGGGAATCCTGGAGGACAAATCCAGATCAACCATCAACGGGGTTGGAATCTATAATTTTTTTTTTTTT